AAGGTATGCAGGACATAAGAATTGGAAAATTATTTTGCTGAGAACATGTATGTTGATGTGCTTGATTGAGCCAATGCACAGTGTATTTTGGATGGAAAATTCATTTGTGTGTTGTGATGGTGTATAGTGAATTAATGTAGAAAATGAATAAAAAAATAAATAAATAAATTAAAAAAATAAAAAATAAAAAAAAAGATTGTGCTGTTAATGATTTTTAATTAAAATTAATTTTTAATTAAAATGTACCTACCAAAACATTCTGAAAAAATTTTAAATTAATTGATAATTTTTGGTTCCCAATTTTTTCATATCAATTTATAATTAAATATTTTTTTCTTTTTTATTCATAGTATAAGTATCTTTTTACTCAAAACAGTAATGGGAGCCGTATGTAGGTTTCATCCATAATTAGATAGGAGATAATTGTTCATACCTTTTTTAAGAAGAAAAATTTAAGAAAAAGTTTCTATTAATCTGAAGCTTCAGAGTGTTTTGGTAGATTCATTTAATTAAAAATTAATTTAAAACATGGGACCAGCAGTTAGTGTAATGGCTATGCCACTGGACTCCTATGTAGTTGACCGCGGTTCAAGTCCTGGACCTGGTGGCTTAAACTCACGCCGGGCACGTGTGCGTGTGTGCCCAAGATCCTGAGAGGAGAATGGAGGAGGGGATGGCAGCATGGCCATCCCCCCTGGAGGGTGATTTCTCGCTTTCTTTCTCTCTGTCTATCTGTCTTTCTGGCAAGCACACGTGCCCTATAGCAAAAACCTCTCCAGAAAAAAAAAAAATTTTTGAAAACACAAAAGATTTTTATTATTAATATTTTAGTATTAGGATTTACTATTTGAGCTTGAATAATACTTTTTTTGGGAAAGCACATCAATGTATTATTATTTTTTATTTTTTTTATAGTACTATAGAGTTTTTATACCTTAAGCCAGGAATTTCCAACTCCTGAGTCACAGACTGCTAGTGGTCCATGACTTGTTAGGAACTCAGTCCCACAGCAGGAGGTGAGAGTCATCAAGATAGCAAGCAAAGCTTCATCAGTATTTACGACTGCTCCCCATCACTCACATTACTGACTGAGCTCCACCTTTTGTCGGATAAATAGCAGAGACATTAGATTCTCATAAGAATACAAACCCTATTGTGAACTGCTCTTGCAAGGGACCTAGGTTGCTTGCTTCTTTTGAGACTATAACACCTGAGGCGGAGCTAAGGTGGTGATGCAAGTGCTAGGGAGCAGCTGCAAATACTGTATTATGGTGAGTTGTATAATTATTTCATTATATGTTAAATATAATAGAGATAGAAATAAAGCACACAATAAATATAATGTGCTTGAATTATCCCGAAACCACTCCTAACCCCTTTTCTGTGGAACAGTTGTCTTCTATGAAACTAGTCCCTGATGCCAAAAAGTTTGGGGATTGCTGCCTTAAGCTATCAACAAGTCTGTGATTGTTAGTGGAGGTGGGCATGGAGGGTAAAGGGGAGAACTGAGAGCATGGGTTAAAAACCTTAATAAATACTAAATAGATATTTAAATCAGTAGCCTTCACAGTGCTGTGTGGAAAACATTTCACATTATAATTGAGACATAAAAGAGTATTTGTAACATGTTATTTTGCTATATTTGATATTAGAATAAATTACTCTATTTTTTTGGATTATAGATTGTGCCTTTATTGGAGAAAGTAGAGAAAAATGGCATGTGTGATCCTGCAATTCAAAGTTGTTTGAGTATTTTAGCAGGCATTTATCTTTCTTTGAGTCTAAAGAATCCTTTGAAGAAAGTATTGGCAAGGTAAGAAAAAAGGAAAAGAAGTTGGGTATTACCGATATTGAATTTGACCAAAAGTAACCAAAATTCTTTCTCCAGTTTGAGAAAACTGAAATGAAATATATCACTAAAAATTGCATTTATACAGACTCTTTGTATTTTTTTTTTTTTAAGTTTTTTTCCATAGGGTGCATGTGCTTACCGTAGAGAGGCAGAGAGAGACAGAAAGGGAAAGGGAGAAATCAACTCCCGGGGATTGGCCACACCACAGTCCCTTCTCCTCCATTTTCCTCCTGGGAGGTTCAGCACATATGCACATGAACCTAGTGTGATTCTTAAGTCAACAGATCTGGGACTCGGAACTACAGTCAACCATGGAGGAATCCAACACCTTAACCATTACACTACCTGGTGGCTCCTTCCTTTTAAAAAAAATTATACATAGAGAAACAATGAGAGGGAAAGTGAGACATCATTCTCACAGGAATATGGTCAGCTGCAATCCCTTCTTCATTCTCCTGGGATTTTAGGGCATGCTTCCACGTGTGCCCGGTGTGATTTTTAAGCTACTGGGTCTGGGACTCAAAACCATATTTTACCATGTGGAAGTCCAGTGCCCTAACCACTACAGCATCTCTGGGCACCCCCATCTACTTTCTTAAAAATTAAAGAGGTTCTTAGGTCACGGGACTTAAAATGCAGGCTAGTGGTGCAGGTCAGCAGGTGGCGTGGTGGTTAAGTCATTGAACTCCTACATGGTTGACCTTGGTTTGAGCCCTGGACCCGACAGCTTGAAAATCACATCATATTAGGTAGGTCAGCAGATGGTCTACCACTTATATCGCTGGACTCCCACATGTCTGACTGTGGTTCAATTCTTGGACCTAGGAGCTGGAAAATCATTCAGGGCACATGGGCATGCATGCCCAAGATCCTAGGAGGAGAATGGAGAAGGGATTGTGGCATGGCCATCCCGTCTAGGGGGGGATTACTCACTTTCCTCCTT